CACTCTTCAGAGCTCCTTTAGTGACCCTTTGACACAAGTTTCACATAGCTTGGACTACAAATACCCAAATGGAGGCAATATTCGCAGAATTCTCTGAAGATCAAACAAAAGCCAATAGTGATATTCTTTGGGGGACAAGGTAACTTCCCATCTTCGGGATGACTGTGTTGGGTCAGAGGCTGTCAGTATCATTAATGTGCCCTGCCCTTGCCTTTCCATTCACCCTCCAGCCCCTTTGTTGGCTGCTCCTGAAACAGACCAGGCACGTGCCACTGCAGGGCCTTTGCACTTAGGGGTTTCTGTTGTTCGGAACACTCTTCTCGAAGACTTCACAGCTGGGTCTCCTGCCAACATTTCATCCTATAAAACTTCCTCCTAGTCCTCTGCAAAGGGGCCCATTTACCAATGTGGCTATGTACCAATATGGAGGAAAGAAACTCCAGAGCTTTTCAGGAATACTGGACACTGCCTCCAGACCCGATGGTAATTCTTGACCCAAAACTACAGTGTGGTCCATAGTCACAGCGTGGCCTTTTCCACTTCTTTTGAGAGGCTGGTTTGGTTTTGAATCTGACTGGTTCAAATCCTTTACATTTCCTCCAACTTCTGTTTTAAGCCACTAATTCCCTCGTTAGCTTATCTCTATTTGTACTCTATAATTAGCAGCTAAAAGATGCTAGTTGACATTTTTGGCACACTCCTTAGAAATCCTTTTGACTAAATTCATCAGGTGACTGTATGTCATTTAAAATGTTGCAGTTATCATTAGCAAACAGCCTTACTGAACAAACTTTCTCTTCATATCAAAGGCCCCCTTTCTTCCACCATGGAAGAGCATTCCACTCTTTTCCTGAGCACTTACTGATGCTTCCTTGGGCCTGTCACTTCTGTGTGACCGTCTTGTGGTGGTCCAGACCTCACTTTTAGAAGACCCTGCCATGGAGAGAGCCAAGAAACAAGAGCCTCAGCTGTAGTCCTCCAGCATGCCCTGTAGAAAGGTAGCTGGAGCCACTCCATTTCCTGGTAGCTGGAGCCACTCCATTTCCTGTGGGAAGCTCCCAGCCCAAGTGCAAATGTCTTGGCCACTTCTGCCCAGCACATCCATCTTCAGTAGCTGATCTTGTGCTGGAACTGCCTGCAAGGCTGAAGGAGGCTTTCGTGGAGCTATTCTACAATGGGGTCTCTTTCTAGCCAACTCTCCTTCCCTTTCCTCCATCATTCTACAGGTATCAGGCCTGTGTGGAAATTTGGAAATCAAGATTTTCCCTTCCATCTTCTGCTCTCTCTCTCTCTCTCTCTCTCTCTCTCTCTCTCTCTCTCTCTCTCTCTCTCTCCCCCTCATCTCTCTCTCTCTCTCCTTTCCTTTCTCAGCAATTCCCCCACTCCCTTGCACTTCTTCTTTTGCTTGAGGTCTGTTTCCTAGAGGATCTAAGTACATAAGCCTCTTCCAGGTCCTTTCAGCATGAGTATTTACAAGTAATGAACATATGTTTTAGGTTTTTTTTTTTTTGTTGTTGTTGTTGTTACCAGGGATTGAACTCGGGTCCCTGCGCTTGCAAAGCAGGCCACTGAACCACTGAGCTAAATACCCTGCCGTTTTAGGTTTTTTTGTAACGGAAGCTCTCTACTTCCTGGCACTAAATCTGTTTCTGTTGCCATTGTGACAAAGGAATCATTCCCAAATTTAGTATATTAAAATAACCATTGCATTTTGCCCATAATTTCATGGATTAGACTTTGGATGACCTCACATAGTCAGTTTTCACTTGAGATCGATCTTTTATGCTCGTGTCACCAGGCGCTGAACAGGTCTGCAGTGAATGAAGCCTTGAATGGTTTGGGTGTAGGACATAGCACACGTTCATCTAGAGCATAATGCTGTTGGCTAGAACACTGCTAGGCCTGTCAACTGAATGCCTATTTGTGGCCTTTCCAGCATGGTTGTCCCAGAGGAGGTGGCTTCTTCCATGATGGTTGGATTCTCCCAAAATAACCAAGCAGAACCAATATGGCTTTTTTTTCCCCATTAAGTGGTATTGCCTTGACTGTCATGTGCCATTGTTTCCATCAGTTGGAAAGCAAGACCTTAAAGTTAGCACAGATTCAAGATGGAAGGGCAGAGATTGCATCTTATTATTGAAGGAGTGTCAAATAATTTTCAGACATGTTTTCAAACTTCTACATGACTGAGACACAATCGCTGTAGGCAAAACTGAGCTCTTACGGGGGGGTAGGGGTGTGGTGAAACTTTCGATCGGTGAGGTAGTGTTTCCTGGGATGAATATGCTGTGAATCTCCATCCAGCATATGGGACTACTCCTCCCACAGCCAGGATACACAGATGTGGGACCAAGGAATAAAGAGGAAGTGAACTCCTCTCATTATCACCCGAATGGTTGACAATCTGGTAAGCTTTCATTCCTGTCCATGCAATGTCAGACTCTGCACTTCACACATATTTGTTCCAAAGCAAAGAGTGCCTCCTTTCAAGAACACAACAATGCTTTCTTCCACCTGGAAGTTGAAAGAATTTGGCCACTTTGTGGCCCTCATGCCAGTGAGCTAACAAGACAAATGGAAGTTTGGGAGCTGGGTGATGTGACTACCCCTGGAAAATGGAATGGGTGCTACTCAGAGAGGCTGGTGGGAGAACAGGTAGAAACAAGCTGAGCTGCAGATGGTTCTCAGGCATCTCTCAGTACCTCCTCATTCTGAGTAACTAATGGTACTGTTACAGTTTGCATCTGGCATATTCCCCTCAAGGCCCTGTGTACTCAGAGCTGGGGCTTGGGCCGGGTGACTGGACTGGGCTGTTACAGCTAACTTGCTGTTAGGAGGTGGGGTGTGGCTAAACGTGGCTCATTGGAGGGCTGTATCTCCCCTCTCAACTCCTCCTTTCTCTGCTTCCTGGCTGCTGTAACTTGAACAGCTTTCCTCCCCACAGCCCTTCCGCCATGCCTCTGCCTTGGAACCCATTGACTATGGACTAAAACCTTTAAAAACATGAGACCAAATAAGTGTCTTCTTGAAGTTGTGGGTGCTGGATATTTTGTTCTAGTGAAAAGAAAGTAAGAAAACACTGAGAGCCAATTAACTCATCATAGTCAGGGTTGGTAGTGGCAGGGAATGTCCAGGAATTAGGGTGGGTAGCTCCACCAAGCCAGGAACTATCACAGGTGAAGTGCTTGCTGAGGGAAGGTAAGGTAACAGGTAGTAAAAGGAAACTATAGGTGCCAGTCACCAGCTACAACCTTGTGATCAGCTTGAATGAGAACTAGACTTGGCCCAAGCCCACCTCCTAGGAGACTAAGGGGAAGCAGCTAGAGAAGCCATAGTTTCAGTAGAAGGGTAGTTCCCACAGACCAGCCCATGGGCTCCGTGGGCTGCACTTCAGGTCCGTGCAAGCCGGGAATGGTCCCTTTGCACCTGTGTCTTTCTCCAGTACTCTAGGGGTCTCTTTCAGCCCTGCCCACATGTATGCCAGCTCGCACTCCCACAGTCCACCCCTCATTCCCATCATGTTCATAGTGGTGCAGTTTTCCTGACTAAATGCTGACTGGTACATTTTGGTTCTCTGCTAAGATATCAGCAGAACCTTCTTTATAAGTCTTTCTATTAGAGAGCAATCCTATCAGAAAAAGCACCCCATTGTCCTTGACCCCCTTTCTGTGTCTCATTCTACTTCAAAGTTTTTACCATTGCCTGATGTAGAACTGTCGCTATACTTGTCTGCCTTTTTAAAAAAAAATAATTGTACTAATCTGTTTTTCATTTCTACAAAGAAATATAGGAGGGAAGCAAATTTTGTAAAGAAAAAAAGGCTTATTTAGCTTACAGTCTTAGAGGATCAAATCCTAAGGTCAGGCAGTCCCAGTGGTTTGGCCCCTGGAGAGGGCCCCACAGTAGATAGCATCACATCCTAGCAGGGGTCCATGCATGAAGAAGGGGTCACATCTCAAAACAGGGACCTAGAGACGACACAGGGAGTCAGGTCCCGGCTTGTATAACAGCTTCATCTCATGGGCACTCACTCCAGGAGACAAGCATCATCCTCTGAGGGCAGCACCCACAGTAGCCTAGGACCTCCCACTGCACCCCCCTCTCAAAGGCCCCACCACCTCCCATGAGCCTCACCCTGGGGGCCAAGTTCCTGACACACGGACCTTTAGGAGCACACAATCAAAGCATTTCCAAGCCATAACACTGCAGCACTCAGGACTTGTAGCACTCAAGGATTCACTGATTGAATACTTAAGAAAGCCTGATTTAAAGGTTGGTGTGTCATGACCAGAGTGAGAAGATACACTGTGGGATACTGAATTCAGTGCCCTAGATAAAGAAGAGGTACAGTGATTAAAAAAAATTAAAGAAGGAAGTAGAAGAGGAAGAGTATAGTGGGGAAGGAAAAGGTGAAGAAAGGGAAGGGAGAAAAATAAATGAGGGAAAGGAACAGAGCAGAGAGGAAGAAGTGGAGAGGTAGAGGGAGGAACAGGGCTATGAGTGCCTGTTTGATGATGGGCTAAGTGCTTTCTGCAGATCCTGGGACAAGCTCAGGAGACAAGTAGACTGACTCTACTCAGACATGAAGCCACTAAGACTGGGCAGAGAAAGGACTTGCCAAAGTCTTCCCAGGACTGAGCTGGGACCCACATCTGGGTGCGTAGTGTCAGAACTCCTTCCTTGCCGTGGTACCATGCCACCTGACAAAGCAGATATGCCACAGAGAGAAGGAGTAGAACTCCGTCTAAGTCACATTACAACATTCCGATTAGTCTGAAATTATAGTTTAAATTCTGAACTTGACTGATTTTCTCAGGAACCGATTTAAGAACCAGTCTTTTGATCTACGACTTAATCTGTTTCACAAATAGGCAGTTCTGTGATTTATACTGTTTCATGTAATAGTTCTATCATTTTACTGAATATTTTCACCAGCCACTGTTCCATTATAGACAAATGATGAGTTATAGTGATTTTAAGTTATGCATTTTAATTTTAAACTCACTTAGGAATATTACTATACAAAGCAGGAGTTAAGGCATTAGCGTGGTAACAATGACAAATCTGTTTGTCCTGTAAATGTCATGCTCTGCTCTCTGAATTGAGTAAAATGGGGCCTGGCAGTTCAAAACCAATGACACTGCAGCCTCATGATTCAGATAAGTGGAGGCACTTCAGGGTTATCTTCAAAATCTGGGTCTTCCTCACTTGGTGCAGTTTGGGGTTCAGATCCCAGTCTTTTAGATGTGCACTTCTTCTCTTGAACTATAGATGTCACATCAGGGAATGAATACTTGCTAGGATTGACTTCTAGTTTCTCAATTTGCTTGCATCTACAACAAAAGAGGTAAGAGAAATTAATATCTCATTATTTAAAGTTAAATTCCAAAGAGATGCAGCTCATTTGTTCATTTATATAGCAAAGGTTAGCAGGGGCTACCTGGATGGCCCAGAGATAAAAATAAGAGACTGTCTCTGGCCTGGAGTAACTTAGAACAGTGTAGAAGCAAGATTCTAACCCATGGAGAAATAAAGAGTTAAAAAGTGCTACAGAGAAGAAGTTGCCTGAGAGCCTCAGCTTACCTAAGAACTATTTTTTTTTTGACAATTAAAATGATACAGCAGACAAAGCCACATAAACAGGATCAGTGAAATTCACTCTACACTGGGCTGACTCTTCAGTGTGGCTGATGAGGGCTTCCAGACCGCAGCTCTTCAGACCACCCCACCTGCCATAGTGTGGCAGGGTATGTAACTACAAGTTCAGGTGCACAAAGCTCAGCCCCTCAACTTCCTCTCCCACAAGAACCTGCTCCTACTGTCTACACCCAGTTCTCTCAGCAGTAGCAAGAATAAAACAAGCAGGCCGAATCTCATTAGCCAGTGAGTCCCAAGGTGGTCATCGAGAAAGCTCTATAGGTGATACATGTTCCTGGGCTGCTCTCCGGGCAATTTTTATTCAATTGGACTGAATTTGGACCCAGTGATCTGTGTTTTTATGAAGACCCTGAGGGATTCTGATATTCAGTCACATTATTTTGGAATCACTCCAACATTCATTCATTCATTCATTTATTTGGCAGACATTTGTTTATTTGCCACCATATATCAGGTGCTGCAGTAGGCAGCAGAGGCAGCACAGTCTGTGTAAAGGTCTGAGGTTCCTGGTAACTTCCAAGCTCACTGCCATCCTGTGCCAGAGAATCCACTGTCTCATGATTGGTCTGGTTTCCTATAAACCTGACACCTTGGAGGCCTAGAGTTTGTCTTTTTCATCTTGTATCTTTGGCATACAGCTGTGCTGACTAAATATTTGTTGAATAAGTGAAGAAATCGTATTGCTATATTGGAGGAACTATGAGATTATGTTAGCAATTATCTCTGATGTAAAGAAATCACAATCAGTCTAATTTGGAACTTCCAACTGAGGTCCTTAGACAGAATCCACCTGGCTTTCACCTATTGTTGGGAAGAAGGGGGCTCAATTGTCTTTTGAAAGTGTAAATTCTCCACTGTTCTTGAAAGGCTTCCCCCTCATTCCTGTACTCTGCTCAATCCCTGCAGACATTTGTTTTTAATTGTTGCTGAAGAAAACAAAGTAATGTACAAAGTACTATAGAATGGTACCTCAGTTGAGCAACACTTTTGTTTGTGAACAACTTGGTTTGCAAACAGAAGCATTTGGCAAAATTTAGTGTTTTTTTTTCTCCATTGAATTTATTGGTACTTTTTAGGTATACAGTGCAGTTACATTCATCATTGGGATCTTATACCTTTACGTGACATATCTTGGTTCTTATTTTTTCCCCATTCCTCTGCCCTCCCTTCACTCCCTCCACGCTATTTACAAAGCTTTTGTTTCCATTTTTTTCTTTTCCCTTCTCTTCCTTTTAGTGTGAAAAACTAAAAGTGTAAATAAGGTTCAAATTGTATAATCAATGATGTGAAATAGGAAGAAAAGGGTGAAAGGAATAGGGGAAGTGGGAAGGGCAAAATTTTGTTTGTTTGCAAATTCTGCATTGAGTGACAAATGACTGTGGCCATCTTTCCTGCACAAACATGAAAATGGTCATCTTTTTCAGAACTGTGGGGCTGGGGATTTACATCAGCGGTTCAGTGGCCTGCCTCGCAAGCTCAAGGACCAGAGTTCAATCCCTGGTACCAAAAAAAAAAAAAAAAATCAGAACTGTGGAAAGAATTAAGTTCATGAACTGAGATACTACTGCATACAAATAACATAAAATCATGTACTCGTGAAGACTCTGGTTGTACTATACACTGTAACCCATTCTCTCCCTGCTCTAGCTCTTGTCTGGAAAATGATGTAGTACAAAGTCTACAGGCACAGTGGTGGGAAACGAACCAAGTTTAAATTATTAGAACAAAGAAAAGCTCTTGCTAGCCAAGAGGGGCTGCAAGGGAGGGTGCTGAGGAAGTGCCCAAGTTCAGAAATTTATATGTGCTTGTTGGGCTATTCTGCTGGGCACATGAAAATGAGACAATAAAATGATGTGGTTTCTGCTTTCAGCTTGGCTTCTGAGGTCAGGAGAAGCAAGGTTCCCCTGCACCCCAACTTGTCAGGATTTATCTCAGTTGATCGGGGCTCTTATCCATTGAAACCATGTGCTTGTCATTTTTAGCTAGGCTTCTGACCATTTCTCATCCCCCTTCAATGAGCAGCTTTCCCTCGTGTTCCAATTTCCCCAGGGCTTCTCTGTGTTTACTCAGGTCCCCATCCTGCCTATTGTCTGTCTGTTTCCTGGTCTCAACACCATTGTGCCACAGGAGAAAGAAGAAATCAGCATGATGCACCAAAGGAATGTGAAGGAGGTGGAGGAGCAGAAAAGGGGACTCTAGTATTCCAAATAAATGATGGGCTCTGGACCTGCCTCCAGAACCCACCTACTACTCAGATGCCTCTGTGTAGTGGTATGTGGTGACTTCTCTGCCTTTAAAGTTAACAAAATTGATGGCTTCAGCTTAGTACAAATGCACAGCAAACTACAAGGTTGGTGGCTGACTGAAGGAAAGAGTACGCACACAGCCAAAGAGGACCATTTTATAAAGCCCTGCAAAGGGGCTCAGATTGGTCCACAGCCCCTATGCTAACAGGAGACCTTCCCTACACTGTAAGGGTGGCTGCTGTGGCTGGCAGTGTGTGCAGGCAGCTCGTTTTGCACAGTCCCTCTGGAAGTGTAGAAATTCCGTGCTCCGGGCAGAAGGTGCCTACAACTCTCTGAGGAAGGCACTGAGTACTGAGGTTCCAAGGAGAGGCCCTCAGGTTACCAGAGATGACTCAGCGTACACTGAGATTTCTTTGGCCTTTGCCTTTTACTGATGTAGCTTTCCGTTCTTCTGCTGTAATAAACATTAGCCATGAGTATGACTATGTGCTGAGTCTTTTGAGTCCTTGCAATAAATCCCTGACCGTGGGGTCATTACTGGGACTCCAGGCACTGGCCTCTGCTAAGCCTCATACTAACCCTTTTACTTATATCATCACATTCTCATTCGGGCATGAAAAAGAAATTGAAGCACTAAGAATTAGCAAGAAAGTGATCACTCTTTACAGATATGGAGAAAAATCTAAAAGAACCCACAGACAAATTAGCAAAATAAGAGATAAGTCAGGTTGCTAAATACAGAATCAAACATAAAAAGAAACTGAATAGCAGTGACAGCTGTAGAGTATTGTGATCAAAATAAATGTCACTGCATCGTACACTTTCAAATGGTTGAAATGGTCAATTTGATGTTTGTGTATTTTATCACAAAAAAAAGCAAATCATAGGTCTACATACTGGCAATGAACAGTAAGTAATATAAACTTTAGAACAAACATAGCACATGCCTGTAAATTAACAAAACTTGGGTACACTTATGGAAGAGGTATCCTCCCTGAATTGATCTACATGTCTACTTCCAAATCGAATCCCAGTATGCATCTATGTGTGCATGTGTGTGTGTGTGTGTGTGTGTGCACGCGCGCACGCGCATAAGTGTGTGTATGTGTTCAGATTCACGTTTTTCCTCCTAAGTTTCAGGTGTCAGTTAGGAGTTTGGTCCCACCTCTTGTGGCATGTGGGATCTGATGAACCTTCAGTAGGCAAAGCCTGGTGGGAGGTCCTCAGCTACTGTGGGTGCTGCCCTCCCCAGGGAGCCCTGGTCTCCTGGGGTGAGGTCTCAGGAAAGTGAGAGGTATAAAAGTTGGAAATGACCTCTGATCCTCTCTGTGCTTCCTGTTTGGAGTCAGAACTGATTCCTCACACATGTATCTCCACTGAGATGTAACGTGACTGGGAGAGCCCACACCAGCACGGTGGATGCCAGCTCCATCGGCTCACCTCCCAAACGGTGAGATCAATAAATTCCTTTTATTTGTAAACTTACCCTGCCTCTGATTTTTCAGTTCACAAATGCAAAATGCACTAGTGTCATTTGTGTGTGGAACTTGACCAGTTGATTCTAAAATGTGTATGGAAATGCAAAGGGCCAAGAATAACCAACTCACTCTTCAAGGAGAGAGGGGAGACTTTTCTAAAGCTATAGAAATTAAGGAAGTGAAACAGAAGAGAGTTCAGAAACAGAAGCCAGACCTACACCGACTTGGATGCCTGATCTGTGACGGACAGCCTTGGTGACCAATGCGGAAAGGACAAGCTTTTAAATAAGAGACACTAGGACAGGAAGGGATCCTTACTGTATGAAATTAAGTTGTCATACCCAAATCAGAGTCATTTCCTGATGGATTAAACCTAAACAGAAAAGGCAAAAGTAGAAAGCCATCCAAGATAAGGGGCTACCTCCGTTTCTTACCTCAGGGTAGGATAGGAGTTTTAGAATAAGACAAAGGAAACATCAACCATAAGCCATTAAGATCTTTATTATTTTAAAATTAAGATCTATTCATTCAAAGACAGCGTGATGAGCGTACAAAGGCAAGCCCCAAGTTTCCCTGTCCTGGCCCCATCACTTGCCAACTTCGTGATCCTAGCAAACTCCACCTTTCAGAACTGCAGTGAAGGAGAAACAATGGTACTTATCTGGTAGTGCAGTTCTGAAAGTTAAAGAGAAGGTCTAGCCACGCAAGCACAGAGTCAGCACTCCGTGAATGCCTTCACTCTTGAGGGAGTTGTGAATCTCCCCTCACATCACAGTGTCATGGGACCACGATCAGGAGCTCACTGATGTCACCTTCCAGTCCTGATGAACAGAACCTGGCCCTGTTGTCTTCTCCTTTGTTTATTCTGTATGCACAGACCACTGTGGACAGAAGAGGGTGAAGCCCTGCCAGCTTTCCTTTCCCTGGAGCCCCCAGCCCAGGCCGACCGCAGTACTCCACTGTTTGGACACCGGGTTGCCCAGCCAGAGCCAATGTGCAGTGTGAAGTTTGTCAACAACTAAAGAGCACTGCGCACAACCTTCACTTAGGCACGTTATTTTGGTTGTGATGTTAGCATTTTTCAGAATAAAGATGAAATAGAAAGGCTTTGCAAAAACATGGTGAAGAACTGTGCTAAGACGTCTCAGAACCTCAAGAGTAATCACAATAATAATGATTTTCCTGGGGTCTGTTCACAGTGACTTGGCTTCCTGGCTCTGTGATTCTGCACAAATTAAACTCAGTTTTTACATGCGTGAGGGTGCTGGGGGGGTTAATTATGACTGCGAATGTTTATAACAGTCATGATACTCTGGAATCTTGTATCTGCAATGGAAATCACTAAGTAGGGAAATAGGAGTGGATTTCCATGGCTAAAAACAGTAACCCACTTCTTAGGAGGGAGGAATTCAGTTCCTTACCTGTTGTTCCAACAAATCCCACACTGTCTCTGAAGGTACTGATGCCCGACTGCTTTATTATGCGAGATGTAAGGATAGCTCTTGTTCAGGTATTTTTATGATGATAATTCTAGCACATACATTCATAGCACAAAGATAGGCTGCCTCAATTCAAAATAGATTTTACCATCTGGAGGCTAAGAGTCTTGCAATTGTGAGAAATAGGGTATTGAAAGGACTGGGATCTCATTCTATGGGAGAAGTGAGAAGTACAGGTGGGTGCTCGTGTAAAACCCACTGAGGGCTGTCCTTTGAAGGGAGGGCTGGTCTTGGCCTGAGGTTCTCCAGGTAGCAGAGCTGGGATCTTTACTTAGGAGCTGGAGAGAGGCAGGAGAGACGTCTAATCCTGAGGAAGACTGAGAATGGGTGAATATTCTCTTAAAAGGGTCATGTTGGGAAAGAATTTAAGCAAAGATGACCTCTGGTCAGGAGCATGGTGAGGGAACGCTCACACCCCTGTAGCCTGGGCCCCGAGGAGTCTGAAGCAACTCGAGGATCATAAAAGGGAGGTGCAGGAGGGCAAAGATATGAGCAGGACTCAGGGGGGTTCTCTAAACATTTCACAGCTACACGAGCTAAAAATTTCTCTCTCTCTCAGTTTCCCCTCTGGAAAGAGGATGAAATGGTGAGGACAGAGGTGTGGATGTGGAGAAGGCACACAGTATTGTGCCAGACACCAAGCAAGTATCCGGTAAGCGTCAGCAGCAACTGACATTGACATCATCACTCTTGTTATTATTTTCACAGGAAACTGGGACCTGTAGGGGCACAGATTGGAGTTTTGGGGATTGAGAATCTTACAAGTCTGGGGACTAAGGATTTGGATACAAATGTGGACGTGCATGACCTGTGTCATTTTAAAACCATGAACAGATTCATCGCTTCAGATGCTGCACTCTGGCCAGCAAGGAACAGCTCAGAGAGCAAGGTGATAAAGCTCAGGGCAGCCTGACACATGGTACCTGGTGTGTGTCTGCTCTCTGCTGCTATCCGAGGTGGTCTTCACAGACTTGGATATTTGTCGGCTGCCTGTGATTACTTCTTCTACCTAAAATAAAAATACAACACACACCAAGTGGTGTGTTACTCCCTGACATACATTGAGGAAATATACATTATAGGCATATCTGTAATTTTTAAAAGATGCTAAAACATTTTAATTTTTTTCTCCACATTTTCAACGAGAGAGTCAAACTTAAGGCCCTTGCATGGCATAGAGAAGGTGATAACACAAATTTTATCCGTTCACAGCTGTCTTGCAAAGTCATAAACAATCCAACAGTTGCAAAGCCAAGCACGGGGATTTGGGGAAGACATTTAACAAATTTTATCAGACAGCCAACAGCATGCCACCCCTTTCCAGGAGCAGGCGGTGTTGGGAACAAAGCTTGCATGCAGTGGTGCCATAGTGGGCAGCACCTTGAAAGCTGGAAGCTTGCACCCTCATCCAGTACACTGCTTGGAAGCTTGCACCCTCATCCAGTACACTGCACCTGGCTTCTTCCTCTCTGAACATGTGAGGGATCGGACTGTGAACTCCCTTCTTGGGAAATCTGTAATTCAATTTCTTTAAAACTAAACAAGTTCAGTGCTAACTATCCTGAGATCCCAATAAATAAAGCAGATGGACCCCATTCAGTAAACGCACTGCAGAGAGCATTTGGACCCCACAAGTTCCCCGAAGAATCTCATCAGATAACAGAGTGCGGAGGGAGAAGAGAGCCTGCTGCTTAGCACACACAGACACTAACCATAGGCGGGGCACCAAATGTCACCACTAGATACATTAACCCAGCACCATTCCTACAAGACAGCAATTGCTCCTAGAGCAACAGAAGGAAATTTAAAACTCTTCCTGTTGCCAGGGTTGCTTTTTAAAGACAGTGGCCTGAAGTGGACATCACGCCTCTTTAGCGTGAACTTCTCTGTGATGAGGAATGACTCATTTACCTACCACAGCTTCCTGGCAGACAGGGTCACCATTCTAAAAGGTGAAGTCCATCTGCCATCTTTCTCCTGTTGCACAGCTGCGGTCCAGCTCCATGCAGCTGGCTAAGGCCTCTACTTGGACTTTGAGATGGACCAGTGAGCTCCATCTGCTGGCTTGGGCCAAGTCTGCATTTGAGAAGGTAGTTGAGGACCCTCGTGTAGCTTCAACCCTACCAGGGCATGTGGTTAAATATGAGGAGTGATTGCAAAATACAGTGACTTTAATTTTTAAAAAATTTATTATAGTAAAAGACACAACCTTGAACCCTCCTCAAAATACTTTCCTTAACTTTGAATACACTTATAGTTTTTGCCACTTTCTGAAGCAGTTCTGGAAGTTCTCTTGGGGGAGTGTCTTTAGTTACACTGTCGTGGCTGCCTCAACGTCCTGAATAGACTCAAAATGTTTACCTTTCGTGGTCCTTTTGACTCTGGGGAAGAGCCGGATGTCACATGGTGCCAGACATGGTGAACAAGGTGAACGAGGGCATGCTGTAATGTTACAAGCCTGCCTTTCTCTTGGGTGATACTTGGCAGCGGCATTCACTGTATTTTTGAATAGCCTGAAAGATACTCAGAAAACTGGAGTTCTACAACTGCTTCAGCTTGGCAAGAGCGACAGAATACATGTGCTCAAAGCAAGGGAGCATATCGCAAAGGAATGAACAGCAATGCGTCTTTTACTGCAATTAATTTAATTTGGGCACTCATTGTATATTCTGATCACCCCTTGTACACAAGACATTATTTTCCCATTTGACCAAGGACTTTTGGTAGAAAGCTGTGTGGCCAGAACCTCAGAGAGAGATGTATCAGTAAATGGATGTCAAAGGAGTGGATGAAGGGGTCTTGGCCCGAGAGCCCACAGCATCCCCCTGGGGAGGTGAGTGCTCTTGTGGATAGCCACCTGTCAATGGCAACCTTTCTTCACTGTTACCTGTTCTGCAGTGTCATGTGGCACTGCAAGGACATGATTTTTACCAAATTCAGTTTCACAATTTCTATTGTGTTTATAAAAATGCAACATGGGCACATGGATGTGACTTTAGTTCAGCTCCTGTACACAGGAGACCATGGCCTCGGGTATGTCTTCCTCTTCCCAGAGGCTGTGTGGGAGGATAGGCATGAGATGCAGAATGGCAGATCTGCTTAAGCTCCACCTTTCAGTGTGGCTTTGCACACCAAACTGAGGACCCGTAATATCCGGAAGCTTCCCAAATCGTTTTTGCAAGGCCAGATTTCAGCTGAGATTATAGAGGAAAAGAACAATAAATGCTATACTGTTAAAGATGTTACATTTCAAGGCTGGAAGAGCTTGTTTGGAAATGTTTTAAAAGAGGTACAGTCTGCATTACAAAAACTCGCAGGAGACGCTATGGACTCCCGCCACCAGAGCAACATTCACTGAATAATTAAAGCAGGTGACTCACACAGCAGAGAAAGATTTTATTATCAAGCATGCCTGGGTTTGGAGTAGGCTAATTTTAAAATGTTTCATTTGTTATGTTTAAAATAACAGTTAATACAATTTTATTGTTAACTAGCAATTCTTTGCTGGCCAAATGTGGCAGGATATGAATGTTTACATAATGTTTTAATTTGAAAACAACTAGGTTTCTTCCATTTCTGTAACTAAACCAGTGAGGTCAATACAAACACTTCCTCAAAGCTTGATCTACATTTTAAAAATTGGGGGAAAAATCAGTTACTATTGATTCCATTTATGGCTTACTAAACCAAATGAATGTGCTTGGTAACGGAGAACAGAAATAGAATTCAGGACAAAAGCTAAAACGAGAGTCCCCACAGTTTGGGGGAGGAGGGAGAGGATAGAGAGGCTGAGTGATGGCCAAGGCGTCTCCTCCTTGCAGGTGTCTGGTGTCAGGGTGCAGCAAAACCTCGGAGGGACGAGGTGGGGAGCCCCATATGCCCAGCACTGGAATCTAAGAGCATTTCCTGCAATTTCACTTTATTACAACCTTTCCACACACTCCAGCACTTCTGAAGGAGACATTCTGTGCATTCTCATAATAGCCACTGGCTGCATGAGGCTGAGAACATGGCTGGTGCACCTGAGACGGTGGTGCTATGAGTTTATTGAATTTTGATACATTTTCACTTAGCTTCACCTAGCTAGAGAGATAGAAATGTGGTGTCTGAATTTCTCTTTAGCCCCAAAGCACATCAAAAACCCCACCCTAAGTCATCGGGGGTCCATTACCCAGGATTGAGGACTGAAGTACCCTTCTAGAGGGGATTCTGGGTTCTTTCTGTCCCCAATAAAGAATCAGTCCATAAATGGTGGCAAAGTTTCACATTTGTTAAAGGTAGGAAAAAACAGGCTCTCCAGGGCAAGGTTAAGCCAAGTAAAAGTAGGAAAGAGGGGGAAAAATTCACCCTGTAGCATAGGGTGGGCTATCTTGACAGGTCACGCCTACTTCTACAGCCTGTCATAGCCACCACCTGCTTTTCTGCTTTAGTCCTGGATCCCGGGTCTTGTCAGCTCTGACCTCGCTGCTCGCCCCTTCACACATCTGGGACCTGGACTTGGCATGAGTGTGAGAGCCCAGGAGCAGTACCCCAGACTCTGATCAGTGACGCATCTAAGGTACACTGCCTTTGACCAGATTTGGAGGACTCCAAAGGCCCATGCCAGCCACAGAGCTCGTGGAGGGGCTGGCTTAGGCCTCAGTGGGCCCTGCATTGCTGCTCATCTCCTCTGCCCCATTCTCCATGGCTTTGCTCCTATACCGTGCACGTATGAACACCGGGTGCCCCTCCATGTTCTGAATGCTCATTTCCATCTCAGATGCAGTGGCACTCTAGCACCTTTTTCATTTTTAAAATATTTTAATTACTGTGGAGAGGTCACCGTTGGTTAAAATTCATTAGGACACCAGCTTTTGGGGGAAAAGCTCTTGAACACAAAGTACAAGCTTTGCAGTGCTTTACATTGTAAGCGTACTAATAGGAATGGGAGCATATGCATAATTAGAGCCTCAAAATGCCCTATTTCTAACACTGCTATGTGTCACATAATAAGCACAGACAAAGATTCTCTCTGTTTATGGAAATGCAAATAGGCACAAATTTGGAACTTTTCTTCACAGGGAATTTGTTGTGCACCAGAATCTAAATGTGTGGGTTTTGTTTTTTGTTTTTTTTAAAGATATTTTCAGCACATTTAGTTTGAAACATTCTTTTCAGTTGAAAAGTTACAGGGAATGAAGAAATGGCAGTAAGAAGAATTCAAACACTGACACACATGCTAACACTGAAATTCATCAGACACCAACCTCGATATTAACCACAGGTAGCCATTTTCTCTTCTTATTACAGCTAAGTGTCCCCATGGAGGACAACAGGCTCGGAGGTCCTGACACTGGCTTCCCATCACCTGCCATCTTGGGTGCTCTTTCTCTCATTAACATCGAGCACTGTCTCCTTCATTCGCTCTAAGTGTGCAGGGATGACTAATGGAAAAGTTGTCAGGGCCAAAATATGTCCAATAAATTAGATAATATGAGATGAATGGCTTTCTAAACCCAAAGAGAGAAATTGAATCAACTACTTGAAAATTCAATTGCGGGATAGGCCCAAAGGGACATGAGAACATTTTAATGATGTTTCATTATTTTAACTCTCAAGTTGTTATGTAATCGGAGGTGGGGAGTGAACATGGAGTTGGCGGTAGAATTCACTTTATAGAGACTGCAAAAGCCCTGTTGAATCTCTTCCAAGAGCTGACAGCTGTCTTTCCAGTCTTTGCTTAGCTAGTACCCTGGACTGGAGTCTCATTACCTCCTGAGAAAGAGGCCTGCTCTCAGATGATCTATATTTAGTAAAATGTATATGGTTGCATTACCAACTATAAAAGTTAGCCAATCAAGAAATACATTGTGAGGTGTATAGCAGATACAAGGTAGAGACTTAGTTCTTAATCTTTTTTATTCAGGTCAAATCCTATAAATTGCCAATATTTGACAATTTTCAACCCATGAAACAGTGATTTCAATTTAGTAGTTACTTATTTTCATGTAAACAATAATGAGCCAACAA